ATGAGGTATGCCTGTATACCACAGCATTTGGTCTCGTGTACAAATAATAAAAAATTATTAAGAACATATAATTTGCTGCTTAAAGGGTATTTATTTTAACCTATGTAATAACTCTTTTATTAAAGACGGGTTTTATAATTTCTTTTTAGATAAGAAATTGGTAAAAAATAATATCAGTTGATTCATTCTCCGGTTAGTGAACAAGAAATAATTTATATAAAGGTCTAATTTTGTATAGATTATGCTATCTTGGAATCAAAACTATATAGAACTTCAAGATCAAAATTATAAATGTATAATAAAATATAAATAAATAATTGTAAATGTTAATATATTATTATAAATCAAAACCTTTAAAAAAGATGATTTCCTAAGGATAAAAATATGGCAGAGGGGTTTGGAGAATCAACTTGCCACCTTGATTCTAATTTTTAACCTCTCACTTCTTTCTTACTCTTTGCAAATTTTCCTGGATCTTTTTTTATCCTTTTATTAGTTTAGTTTTATAATCGTATTTCCTTTCCTCCAGAAACACATTAGTGATTATTTTTCTTTGACACACTTGTATATTAACTGCCTCTCTTAATTCATTTATTTCTTCCTTCCTTTATCCTTATCTTAATAAATCACAAATTAAACAATGTTTTGTGATGAGGCACCAGCTCTATTGAAATGGCCGAATAATATAATATTATAGCAAAGTAAAATATTAACCAAATTCCAAAAGTACTTTGTTATTTATAGGAATTTGTTTAAATGTTGAGCTCTTAAGCAAAACTTTTTTAAAAAAATCTCTTCCTCCAAATCATAGCTCCCAAAAACAATGTATATCTGCACCAATATATACTAAGTGATACTGGTTGGAAGATAATTTCTAATAAAAATGTTTTATTTCTTTTCATTGATAGTCATATTTTTTAAAAAAGTCATGATATGGTATAATAAGGTTAAAAATATTAGTCTCAGAATAGTTCTGAAGATATAATGAGATCTAAAAATAAAGTGGCCAACTCCTTAGGACAAACAAACAAATCTTGGTTTAGTCCATGTAATTTTAATCTAAACTGTTATAAAATATATTATGGAGAGAAGGGGAGAAGGTCTACATTCGTCATTCCATAGGTGAGAGACTAAATTTAATTAAAAGACCTGAGAGTCAGAATGTAATACCAGCTGTACTTTCATGTTATTATTCATGTGTTTAGAAAGCCACTGAACCTTCCCAGACCTTGGTTCCCATATCAGTAAAAGAAACATGCAAAATATACATTTTCTAAAAAAATTTTTACCAAACATCTTGTAACTAAAGAGAAATATAAATGTATATACCCAGTGATATGTGAGTCTACCTTAATGCAGTTATCATAAGCCTAAAATTTCTTTGAAATTTTGTATTTTATTTCAAAAGTTAATATTAAGTTGATTTTTAAACTATGAAATATATGTTTGGTTTAATAAATATACTACATTTACGATTACTTGTTTTTAGCAAGAGAAGTGAGGGTGGGGCTAGAGAGTTCTCTACTTTTTAAATGGTAGAAATAGTTTTACAGTGAGCTCAGTTTTAGAAAATCGAGCTTAATCAAAGGGAATTAACACCACATATTAGTTTAGAATCCAGGCAATTTCTTTTGTTGCATGATATTATTAGAATCTAAATTCTTGGAAAAAGGTAAATACAAATGTCAGAGTCATTTTACTACAGGCCAAGTCCTGGTAATTAATCCCTGAGTATAGTTTCCCCAGTAATTAATCCCGGAGGAAAGATTCCCAGAATGTTGCAAAAGAGGTAATACAGTGCCACATTTTCAGACTGTTTCTAAGGAATACTTTGTTAAATACATTTTAGTCAAGAGACTGAATAGAAGATTGAAGTGTTTTGGATCCCATGTATAATATCTTTTAAAATCTCAATAAAATAGTTGTCAAAACATTTCTTCATGATTAATGATGACTTTTCTGTTTTGCTACTAAATTTTAATTATCAATATATGTAAGTAAATGAATAATCTCAATTTACTCCATAATCCTCACGATTATTTACATTCAATTCTTAAACTTCTCTTATATTGCTGTGATAGTACAAGCAATATAAACATTTACAGTTTAACCTCTCTTGGCTACTGATAGTGTTTTGGCTTCAGAAAAGTGTTAACAAAAATAGCTAGTAATGCAAGGCTCTTATGATCATGAAGAGTAAAGTCATTCATCTTATCTAAATGCTAATCTTTTGTGATTTCTTTTACATTCTTATCCAAAATATAATAATCAAGCATTTGGCCAGGTGTGGTGGTTACCGCCTGTAATCTCAGCAGTTTGGGAAGCAGAGGCAGGTGGATCGCCTGAGGTCAGGAGTTCGAAACCAGCCTGGCCAACATGGTGAAACCCTGTCTCTACTAAAAATACAAAAATTAGCCAGGTTCAGTGGAGCACACCTGTAATCTCAGCTATTCGGGAGGCTGAGGCAGAAGAATCACTTGAACCCAGGAGGCAGAGGTTGCGGTGAGCCAAGATTGTGCTACTGTACTCCAGCCTGGGCAACAGAGCCAGACATCGACTCAAATAATAATAATAATAATCATAATAATAATAATAAGCATTTGAATTAGCTGTGAATCTCTTTTATCTATACCACCCCACCATAACTGATGATTAAGGGAGGACTAAAATAAATAAGGACATTACATTTTAAATCTACTGATTTCACTTTTCTCTATTTCTTAAATTCTAGTGTATATAGACATCTTTTTCAAATTATTTTGAAGTTTTGCAATATTGGGTATTATTGTTTCAGAAGCCGCAAAAAAAAAAAAAAAGACACCTCACATGAAACTTGAATTTTAGTCATTTCTGACTTCAAACACCTTGGCTTTCTAAGGTTTTCCACTTATGATGGTTTCAAAGACAGGCTTATTTATAGAAATTTGATGTCAAGCTTAGATAAGCTATTTGCTCCCAAAGTCTCTATTTAAATCAGTCTTAGAATCTATTTTTTACATTCAGAGTTTAGTGGTAACTGTCTTTTTTTCTTCTTGTAATTCATTCTTTAAGTTTCTATACTTGCATTTGGAACTGAAACCATACAGGAAAAATGTCTTCCACATATATATAGTAATGTAAAATGTCTTCCGCAGATGGAGAGAGACAGACAGACATAGTTACATATGCATATACATTCTCTTATGAGCATCAGTTTTTTTCCAGCCAATATATTTTCAGGCATGCTAAGGGAATGCTACTTTAAACTGGAAATTAGGGATTCTTGATTTTGTTCCTAGAGTTGTCATCAACTTCCAGTGTAACCTTGAAAAAGATACCTAATGTTGCTGGGCTTAACGTAATGTTAAGCCTTCTAGAAATAAAAGACACTATAGAAAATGCTTTTCACTTGTTACTGTGTAAATTCAGAACATCTTCACAGTTTCTGAAAATTTTCAGAAAGCAGCATGAGGCATCAGACTATATTTTTATAGGAATCTACCAACTCTGCCTTTATAATCTAGATACTGTGAATCTGCATTTAAGATAGAAAGCAACTTTTGATATAACGACCTCAGAAATCAAAAAAAACAGCACAAGAGGATGAGCAGATTTTATGAACTCACTCTGAATTCACTTCATGGGGAGCCCCTCTCTTATAAGTGCTGATGTTCTAATTAGTATCCACTATTTCTAAATTTGACAATTCTGATCTAATAAGAAGAGTTAGAATTGGTGATTATCTTTTTTCCATAACATTTAGTTAATGCTGAAGAATTAGTAAAACCTGTTTATATCAAGTAGCGCCAAAACTTGATGCAGCTCTTATCTACCAAGATGCTTTTATTCAAAATGAAAATTCAATTATCTCAGTATTTAATTATTCCTCAGCAATCTACATATGCTATCAGAGTTCTTTTAAAAGGGATAAGACAATATATATCCTACTTCCAGGAAATAAAATGTTGTAGGATGTTCAGGTTTCTATTATTTCCTAAAGACTTTAACTGGGAACTTTTGGCATCATTACAGCTAACCTTACCTCTGCTGGTCTGAATTGAGACTTCATTCTGCAAGTACAGACTCCATAGTGTAAAAGCACTTGGCCTGAAGCTTCCTGTCCCCTTTGCTCTTCACCCTGCCCTTTTTGTTTTGTTTTGTTTTGTTTTGTTTTTTGACTGCCTCCCTCTTTATCCAAACATTACTTCTTATTAGAGCTTTACTTTAAAAGTACCTCCTCTAATAAAATACTTTGTGTTTAGAAACTTCCCCTTACTTATTTACGTAGTAATATGAAATGACTTATTTTAAAAAGCAGTTTTACTTTTCATTTCCCCTGTCTTACCCAAGATAGGAAATTTTCCAAGAGGAAAATTCAAGTAAAATAACAGAAAGCTTTGAGGTAGTAAGTATATCTAACATTGGTCTGGCATTAAAATTTTCTGGTTGGGCAGCACAATTGTTTAATTGGGAATCTCAGTGACAGCTGAACACCCTCAGTGCTTGGGTCAGCAAGCAGAGGAGCTTCATTCTGTCACCTATCAAGAATGATGCTTGTCAAGACTGATCTTTCCACCTACAGAACATTCATGTTTCTAGTCATACCATGTATGTTTTCTGACATTACAGTGGATAGACAGTAAAACACTAAGAGAGAAAAGTACGTAGGTATATTTGTAATTCTTTGTTTTTTGTAAGCCAAATGCAAATGTAACACTACTCCAGATACTGCTTCATCAGAAGTCCCCGAGATAACCAAAAGTAAGTGCCAATTTCCTCATCTCAGGGATAGTGCCATAACAAAGACTGAATTCTAGGGATCAGCCTATTCGCAGAGCATGTCATACAGCCTCTGGGTTAGTTAACTCCTTGCCCTCCTAAGAGCTACCACAGTCAGTTGATGTTTTTGCATGTATTACTTACTAATGTATAGAAAATTTTTTAAGTTCACTTTTTCTTTATT